TTCAGCAGTGACACCCCACAAGCACTTAAAGCAACTCTTGCATGCTCATGGCTTTTCTCCCTAAACCTTTGTTTATTGGACACAAGCTGATATTTGGAGCAGGCAAAAGCAGGCTCCAGCACTAGCAGGCTGACTGAGCTACCCTGGTTGCTTGTTAGGCATAACTTGGCAGCTGACCTACCTCAAATCAGCTGAGAGGCAACACAAGAGAGACAGGAATGGGGAGACAGCGAAACCAGTGATGCCAAAGCAGTGATAACCCCCCTGTGCTTGGCACGCCGGTGCTGTGTGATATCCTGAAGTATCTTCATACCACTGCTGGCCTACTGGCGACACCTCCAGTCACCCGGCTGCACAACTAACCTCTTATTTCTGGTCCTGGTAACAGCCATTGTGCTTGATGGTGTTGACTTACGAGGCTACACTGCATGGACACTGATGGACAACTTCGAGTGGGCAGTGGGCTTTGATGAGATGTTTGGGTTCTACCATGTGAATTTCACAGACCCTGACTTGCCGCGGCGCCCCAAGGCCTCTGCCAGGCATTACTCGCAGATCATAAACTGCAATGGGTTTCCAGACCCAGCAGCTGGCCCACATCCCTGTCTGGAACTGGAGCCTGAAGGTAAGCAACACAGCAGAAATTATGCTTTTCCTGGTTCGTATGTGCATCTGATTCCAATCCCAAGATTTCCATAATCTAAGGTCTCTACGACACCACCATTTTCTGCAATATTCTTTTTAAGGGCTCCAGTGGCGCACTGACTGATCATTGTCTTTGTTGTGACTGAAGACATTCACATGGAATTATGGCACTTTTGTATGCCAGACCAGAACAATGACTAAAATTTTGTGTGATAGCTCCTCAATACATGCAGCAAACCCAAGTTATTCCATTTCACTTTTCCCTGATTAACAAACTGCCCAAGATGTTTTCCAAACCACACGCATTCAGTATTCCCACACCATGTTTTCCAAACAATACTTTATGTCAGCCAATGTTTTGGGTAAGCCTTTGGAAATACTGATTCTTTTGTCATTTACATTTTCTGAACTAGAGGTGTGCACCGAACAGCAAGCACTGTTCGTGTGGGGTTTTAGGGATGACCGCAGCTGCTGGAGAACACTCACCACTCCTGGAGTCTTGGCAACTTGGCCACAGCTATGCCTTTACTCTGAGCTAGAGCTGTGTCAGTCACTGATCCACAGCATTATGGCCACTGCCACAGCACTGAGCACCCTGTAGAGGCAGGAAGTGGCCATGCACACACACGTGCATGAAGGAGCTCACCCAGGCTGTGTACTAACACTTTCTCATTGTTTTCCCATGGACAGTGACACCAACAGACGCCGCACCAGGGCCAGCTGACAGCGTGCGCTTCTTGGGATTAGATTTAACATCACATAGGGCAGAAATAGCACTGTATGTGCTTTTTGCTCTGTCGGGAGTTGGAGCATTGGCCTTGGCTCTTTTTACATATAGATATGGAAAGTTATCTAGAAGATCTCGTAAAAGATCCCACATGGAACTTAGTAAACTGTAAAGCTTCCACTTACTAAAGCGCTTCTTTTGTTTTTTATTGAAAGTCTATAGCACTAGGTAGTGCTTGTACTGCAGCAACTTTGTCATCTGCCCCAGAGATGGCTCCCCATCATTTTGTTGTTTGCTCACCACCTTTAAAATACAAAAATAAAATTAAGTGGCCCTAATACAATGCCTTCACTTTTGAACAGAGTGGGATACTTAATAAAATCTCCTTTAACTAGGAATGTGAAGCTGCACGGAACACCTGCAGTATTTATGTCTCTAACACAGAGATACACAGCACATGGTATGGGGGAGAGAAGGTGATGACCCTTCCTCCAAAATAGAAGCTTCCAGGCCCTTGTTTTGCAGCCCTCAGCTGACTGATTTTCCATTTTACCAGATAAAGACCCACCTTTTTGTTCCCTGTACCGTAGCCTTGACCCCAAACCCCACTTCAGATGTGTTTGTTTGATGAGATTTTAATACGAACAACTCCCAGGTAAGGTCATTTCAACTGGCACAAGAAGTTTGTCCACTCTATTTTCAATTTCAGTGTATGATCCTAACTGCTTGCTGTCCTTGTGACACAAGTACTTCTGAGGAACTTCACAAGGGAAGACAGTTATGTTTTCTGGAAAATAGTTTATTGAGTGCTTGGGAATTAAAAACTACAAGGTTTTGCTTGCAGTCGCAGAAGCAAGAAAAAAAAAGTTATACATAAATTAGTTATCTGATTTACTGCCTATAGTGCTTCTGAAACCCTCGCTTTAATCAGTCATTGCCTACCATGACCTTTATATTAATATCTGGCCCTTAAATTTATGTAGCAGAGTATTTATAGATTAAAAATTGCCTTTCTATGGCAGTAGGATAATGATTATGAAAGCTGATGGAAATTTTCATTCTTTTCAACTCCTTACTTCTTGGCCTCAGCTACACCTACTCATTTTTTCTGACTGAGGTGACTTTATTCCATACTCCACTGCAGGAATAAGAATGAAGTAACTCAGTCAGTTTAGTTGACTTAGATCAAATAAGGGGAGAGAGGAAAAATAACCCCAAATCAGACAGTGATTACCGCAATTGCTCAAAACTACATTTGTTGTGTAGAATTTCCATTCCAAGTATTGTTTTCATCTTCTCCATCGTCTTGAGTCCTCAGTCTATATATTTTTCCTTCTTTTTTGAAGTCTTCCCCCCGCTTTTCCAATACTCGTTTCCTGACTGCTTGCCTAGGGTACAAATGACAGTGAAGTCTGACAGTTTCACTGGTAGTAATTACACAAGAGAAGTGAATGCAGCAGACAAATCATGCACCCATCCTTCCCTCATCCCAAGTAATGGTTTTCTTCAGCCCTTTGGTTCCTTGGGAAGCAATGCTCAGGTGAAAATATGTCATTCAGCAGTCAGACAAACTGACAGAATCTCCTTTCCCCTGGAAAGTACCTGTCACTGAAGTGATAGGTGGCTGCTTCACATGAAACAGCCCAGCAGCTCTCCTGGTACAGGGGAGAGCTCATTGTCTAGGCAATTCCAAACCTGAACTGGCAAAATCAGCCTTCAGTTGCTTGAGTTTCTTGTATAACCATACCATAACAATTCAACATCCAATGTCAAATTTTTTATCTTCCAAACACTATCAGCTGAAGCAAAGCCCATGTTTGTCATTGCAGCTGAATTCCCTATTCATAAATGAATGCAAGGCAATGCTTTTTCTACTCTGTAATTGGAAATCAAAGCAAACAATAAGGAGCTTGCTTAACCACACACGTAAAAGCCAAGAAACCCTGGCCGGAGCTGCCATGCACTTTACCAGACACCAGGTTATCCCTTTTAAGCAGGTAGAAGGGTGGTGACCAGAAACTATAAGGAGAGGGCAGCGGTTAAGAGACATACAGTTTAGTGAGACATATACAGTTTAGTTCCCCACTGCAGTATGAGAACAATTCCAGCGAGCAGTTTGAGAAATAGCCACCTTTGACAGTTTTGATTACCTGCTTTGCTCAATGCTGCTGGATGCTGAAGGATTGGGATGGTCTGGCTGATGAGCTGACCTCACAGCAGACTGTGAAGGGGGTGGACTTGTAAACAGGAAGTTGCTAATAAATCTCCAAACCGCTAAGAGGGGATAAAGTATTGTGCCCAAGAACTTCCAGAGATCACCGCCTGATGCCTGAACCACAGAAGTAGCAGGTCTTCCCGCCTGGTCACCAACACATAAAGCAAGCTTGTCAGATATTAAAATCGTGTTCTTGTAGACAGAGTATTTAATCCATAACTTAGAAGCAGCTCAGCAGACACAAGAGAACTCCTTTGGCTACATATTAGACAAATATCTATGCCACTGCTTATCTGCTTCAGAAAAAGTCCTCCTCCAATTTAGTTCTGACAAAAATGAAAAGTAATTTTGCAATCTGTCTTAGACATGGAAAACACCAAAATTCAAGTCAGATATTATCATGGCCGACCATAAGCAAATATACATCTACAGTACTGCTGCTTGTAAGAAAATGAGAATCAAGCAAACCAAAGCCCAGCACCTACCGGCAGCAACACAACTGAAGCACTGGGTGCTAACTCTAGTTCCAGTAACGTCTTTCCATAATCTTCTTTGGTAAACTCCCTTCTGGGAAACATTGTTGCCAGTGAAAAACTGCCGTAAGCATTACCAACCGTCTGTGAAAATATAAAGAAACCTTTTTATTTATAACAGCTTGCTATCAAACAATTGCAGATCTGCCAGTTGAGTTACCTTGCCAAAAGCTGTATATCAAACTATCACTCATCTTCATATAGAGCAATGAAGGATTTTCCATATCCTCCTACCTTACTTACAATATGCTGCAGTGATACAAAGGCAGCTGGTGGCACGAGAGAAGACTGCTACCAAAACCCCCTTCAAATAAATAAAAAAGGGAAGCAGTAGATGACAATTCCACCATGATCAACAACTAGGTGATGCTACATCAAGTCGTAACCAGCATGTAGCTGAGAAAACAAAACACCAATTTACCTGGGCAGCAAACTGCCTTGCTTCTTCTAGCCGTGCTTCAGATGGGAACTGGTTAGTAAAGGAAGATCCATCTGGAAGGCGGAACTGAATCCTGGCTATTGCACTGCAGGACACGTATCGCAAACAGTCAGCAAATGAACAGTTAAAGACAAATGCTCCTGGGGCTTTAGCTTGGTAATACAGAAGTGTGGAAGAGAGGGACAGCCATCCTGCTTATGGCAGTGCAGATGGATTTTAAGTTGAAAACCACCTTCTTATATCTCACAATCCTCTGGTTCTTATCAGAGTCCACAGCCCATCACCATTCAAGCAAGATTATTTACAGTAATCTTGTTTGATTACTGTAAATGAGTAAGTTAACAAAATAAAAGCCATCTTTTTTTATGTAGTCTCTATTACTTTTGATCCTTTTTTTCAAGAGGTTGTACTTTGAGTGCACAGATGTTTAGGCTGGCTTGGTAAGTAATTCTGTACTCAACTAGCTATGGCCCAGCATTACTGTTTGGGTTTCAACAAAACCCGTGCTTGCTCCCTGCTCTGGGGCAGTACTAGACTCATAGTGGCTCCACAACTCCACGTAAGGTCTCTTCTAATAGGTTAGAATATTTCTTAAATCAGTAGTGTTGGGGAAAGCAGGAGACAACTCTGACACAAACAGCTGTGAATCCAAGCCAACTGTGCACACAGTCATGGTTGGCACCATGTGCCCCAGTGCAGTTCTGACATTGTCTCATCATTCTGTCCAGTCATCGTCTACCACATTCCCACCGTACCCAGTTTCCCACCAAGCCCCATTATACCTGGTGTTTACATCAAAGATCAGACAGAAAAAGCTCTTATCTAACTAAAATAACACACAAGGAAACTGGTTAGTGTTTCATAATTAGGGTTGAAGGATGAAAGTTATCAGAGAACAGAATATTCATGTAAACAGCTACAAACAAATAATATAAAAGCAAGTCAACTTTTTATGTCACTAGTTAAACAGTTCAACATGGCATCCACAAGAGATTAGAATATATATGAAATCTCCTAAAAGTTTAAGTTTCTTTACCTCTTTCCCCCAAAACATACACTTCAGTCTCTACAGCAACTCACCTTCGCTCCTTTTGAGATGCTTCTTTTCTGGCCTCTATTTCAGCCTGCCTAGCCTGAAGAGCTGCAGCTTTTGCAGCTTCTGCTTCTTCCTTTGATTTTGCAAAGCGAGCTGCTCTCTCAGCACGATCCTGTGAAAGGACCAAACAGAAACCTTAACTTTTACCAGAAATGGTTGTTTAAAATCATTAAAACAGAGAGCTATGAACTGTACTCAGCACTCAACTACACAGGCATACGCAGGCCATATGGAGAAAAGACAGTAGTGCTGCAAAGAATCATCCACTGCCAAACTCCACAATCTTGTGCAGTTAGCCAAGATGACACACTTTTCAATGACTCACTTTCCATTACTGGAGTATCTTCCCATGCAAGTTCAACAGACAGTGAGGATAAAGGAAGAAGTCTTATGACAAGTTACATAATTACAATTCTAAGTGTTCTAGGCCAAAACCTCAAAAAGAGGAGGGATTTAATTTACTACAAACCATTTACATCCATATATACATACACACATATATACAAACTTAGAAAATAATACTCCCCACCATTTTGAGATCAGTGTTCTTCTGCAGTGTTCCACCATTAAATATTCCCTGTGCTTCTGTTCTAGAACCATGCTTAAACTGTAATTATTTTTATGTTTAAATGATAATTCTCAAGGAACATGACAGAAAAGTTATGTTCATTCAGATGGATGAATATGAAAGCAGAAGTTTCATTTTATACATGGGAAATGCTACGTAAGTCTCAAACACATAAATGGTTATGATACAAAGCCACAGGACTGCAAATAGAATAATGGACAAATTTTCACTGAATGAGGAAAGATACTGGCTTAGGACACTGGTGGCCCTTGTGAGAGAGAGAAGCAGTAACAAGCTGTCCTCCAGAATGAAAAATTTACCATTGCAATCTGTTGTCTTATACGCTCTCTTGCAGCCTTGTCTTCTGCCTTTTCTCTGTTCCTTTCCTCTAACATACGTTTTGTCAACTCTTCTTCCTGTCGCCTTTTGTACTCCAACATTTCTTTACCAGTTTTTCTCCGTTCAATTTCTTTCTTAATTTCTTTCTGAATAAAAAACAGAGACATAAGAACTGGACTGCAAAATTGGCTCAGACAAGCGTTAAGATGAGACTGCACTACATTGTTTAAAAAGGAATTAAGCATTTATTCAAATAAGGGTATAAAAAAACAGCAAGTGGCTTTACACTTCTGTTTTACCTGTTCTTCTTCTTTCCTTTTCTCTTCTCGTCTTTCTTCAAGCTTTTTTGTTATTCTAGATTTAAGAATGAAGTGAAAATTCTTATAATTGCAGTATCTTATTAACATTTTAAAATGTTAGTAAAGCATTTGCAAACACAGAACAACAGAAAAGATGAAAATGAACATGGACTGTAACGCGGTGCTAATATCTAGTGCAACAGTAACGGTTCATTCACATGCCAGTGTACGATCCATAAAAAGATGAGGTGGTGATCACCAGACCACAACCTAGTTTCCAACTCTTAATAAGTTCCAAAGTATTCCTTCTGTCCTTTTCCACTCCATAAAAGAAGAATCTTACATATTCTTACTGTTGAACCAACTTGTAAGACATACAGTAAGCAAATACTACTTATGATCTGTGGTAACAGAAACACTAAATCTTTATCTCGTCTTAGCTATTTAAGCCATCTGGTTTCTTGTGCACATTGCTTCCTAAAATGGAAAGCAAGTAATATATACTGTTGACATAGTTGCACATGCATCTGTCTCATCTATCCAGAAAGGCCCCTTAGAATAAGGACTGACTTAAACTATAGCAATTTAAAACATATTTTAAGTCTGGGGAAAGGGCAGGGATGACCAAACAACATGAGAAGTCAGATATATCTATCAGAGAAATTTTGTTTGTATGGTAGCTGTTGTGCTTTTTTAAAAAGAAAATGGTAATTACCAGGGAGCTTTGCCTCTTTTTTCCCCTAAAAGAAATGCTGTAGATATATGCAAATATGGCATATTTTAAGATTAATGCAGATTTTAGAAGGGAATTTTGGTATTTATATTAAAAGACTCCATTTTCTTACCAGTTGTAAGTAAAAAATTATTGTCTAAATGCAAACTGAAATTAAGCATGAAAAGGTTTTAAAATAAGGATTATTTACACTGCTAAACCAATTTACTAAGTATATGCTACTGGTTTAGATAGGATATTACAAATAGTGTCAGTCTTACCGATGCTGAAAAACAAGTTTACACACAAGGTCTTAAAAAGTCTATTCAAAACCAATAAATTCAATGAACGAACTGTGTATAAAACTGGATGTTTCTGGTTGCTCTACTTTAAAATACTAGAACTAGCACTGCTCATCTGACCTCATTACTGTTCACTGATCATAAAAAGAATCTCAGAATAGGATTCTTCTGGCTTTTTCAATATCCTGGACTACAAGCAGTCATGAATTAGGCAAGAAAGAAAGAAGATATCTGTACACCTCTGTACAAAACATAGGTTAGCACTTTATTAAAGTGCTTTCAGTTCAATGTTCTCAGTCATTCAAATATTTGCAGCCAGCATACTGCCTGTATTAAAGTTACTTTAAAGGTGAACGTGTGTAGTTTTCCATATTACCTCTTTATTTCAGGAGTATGTGAAAAATTACAGTAATTTAAAAGATGGTTTTGTATCAACCCTAGTATTGTCACAGATGTCTAAAGAAAAATAGGGCCACATAAATGTTTGCTGGATCATAATAGAATAAGCACCTAAAATCCAAATACAATACATTAGGAAGTCTGCAAAAGAAGACTTACCTTTCTACTTTGAGTGCAAGATCGTTCACAGGCTGAGCATCACTCACTTGCTCATCTGAAGAATTAGTTGCTTCCTGGCTTGCTCGATCTGAATTTGCTCCATCTTCAAGTGATTTCCAAGAAAGTAATGTGCAAGAAGAGAAAAGAAGGTGTATTTCTTAACATAAACTATTAAGCAACTTTGATATCTCAAGGAGATAGGAGGTTCTGCTATTTAGACTTTCCAATTCCACTCAATATATTCCCTTCATATACTACCATAAAACAACTTAGGAAAACTATTTCGAATGCAAATTAGTTAGCATTTGGGTAAAAATACTAACCATTACCAGCAGAAGGTCTCATTGTCTCAGATGTAACAGACTCGGGGGAGTCACAAGACTCTGCTGCTCTGGATTGTGTGTTTTCTGGAGCACCATCAGATTGAGAGGAGGGACAGGGAGCAGATGACTGACTTCCATTTTCCAAAAGCTGCCCTTTTACTGTGTGCATCTAAGAAATTGGGGGAAAAACCCAACACTATGAAACTCTGATTGTTTTCCACTGATTCAAAGGCCAAGACTTAACTATTTTTAGAGAATTGGTCCTAGTTAAAACTAAAATTATCACTTATTGTTGAGTATGATGCAAGCATGCATTTAATATTTTTTCCTAATTTTAGTCTTACACTTGAAATCAAATTGATAAAATGACCTACATTTACATAATGTTACATAGCATAATTTTATAAATCCCCATTTCAAAATAGTACTTAAAACCCACATGTAAACTGAAAGAGTAATAGGTATGTCATTCCAGTTTAGAGTTCCTGACATGTTTCTTCAATGCTGTAGGTGTTACACAGATGATCTAAAACAATTTGTGAAACAAAACAACATAGCACTTCCACATGGTGCTTTCAAACCTCTTCAATTTCTGTACTGAATTTAAGTTTGCAGGTTTTTCCATTGGAAGGATATAGAACCAGTAATCTGTACTTCCCCAAAGCACATGTAAAGGGCCAGGGACATCTATCTGGAGCATTTGAGTACACCCAACTCAGTCTGAAAGATCCAGTCTGTTAGCAAGTGTTACCTGTTTAACTTTATGGATTCTTGTAACAAGCTCATCAACAGAAATGCTGCCAGCAATTACTTCCAAAGGGATTCCATTGTCTCCTATAAAAAAACTGGATGGAACGCACACTACAGGATCTGCACAGCAACAGTTAAGGGCAACAAACGACAAAACTTTATAAAGTGACTTTAAAAGGAAAAGCAAGAGTCCTTCCTACGGAAGCTTCTAGCCCAATATTTTATCTCCACCTGGTCACCAGTAGTCAGTACCAAGGGAGGAAGAAAAAAGGGTACTAACAAAACGGCTGGAAAACATTACATAAACTATTTGGTATTTCTTCTTTTCTTTATAGTGGTTTAAGCCAAAATATTTATCTCCAACACACATATATCCTACAACTGCTTATGTTGTGACTTGGAAGATTTTGGTTTAGTGTGAGACATCTTATGTAGACAACAATGAATACTTTACATCATTAAGAAAATCCAGTTAAGATACGGAATTCCCTTTCTCAACATCATACAGGATTCCTGAGCTATATGCAGCAACCTACTTAAGGTAGGCAGACATTCACCTAACTTCATACCTGTGTACCTGATAGAACTCAGCCCCCTACTTGTTCTTCCTCTTCTTTAATTCTGAACTCCAGCTAATAATTGATACATTGCTAGTTTTCTAATGCTGATTAGTAATACCAAAGGGTTAATTTGTTTACATAAAGCTTTGTGTAATCTTCTATTTGGAGAATTACACAGCATTAACATTAAAAAACCCCTAACTTGTTCGCTTTCTCTAAGAACTGACAGGAAGCTGAATGCAGAGATGGTATCTTTTAACTACAAGGTTTATTGCGTATTTTTGTGCTGTAAGAAGTGGTTTTAATATCATTGCTTGTAAACACTTGTCTCAAGAACAGTATTAACTTGTAAAGAGCAATTATCTGTAATCATAATGTAGCATCTAAACTGATCTCAAAGGATACAAATTTGAGAAAACTGCAGGCATGCTTCACTGTTCAAAAGAAAAGATTCATTTATGAGGAGCAATCACTTCACAACAACTTCAGATTAAGTCTTTCATCATAAAAATAACTGTCCTACTACCACACACAAAACTATTTAAATACTTGAGAGAACACTAAAACCAAATTTGCATTGCATCTTCTCATTAACATTTTGCATAAGTGTTCACATGGTGACAATCCCTGGTTATCACAGTTGACTACATAAGATTTAGGGAAACAGTGCTAAGAAGCAATTCAGGAAAAAATATCTGGTCTGTGGAGTGCAAATAATATAGTAAGTCTAATAAAACGTCTGTAGAGCATTTCAAAGTAATATAATTTTTGGAAATGTCAATGCATTTTCTGCACATGGACTGGAACGCTTAAATGTAGCAAAAATAGCTCAGTAATTTACCTAGAAACTTCCATGCTTCTCTATTCTATGTGTTACAATAGAGACAAACACATTTCCTCTAGGGCTTTACAGATTTTTCTCTTTCCGAATTCATGGGAGTTTTAAAATCCATTATGTAACTTGGCAAATCAGGATCTGCCTCAAGAGCACTCACATTTTTATTCTAGCTTTTTTACGTAACTTTTGTGTCTCTTCCTGTCGCAAAAGGACAACCTCAAGCATTCTTCTACTGGCACTGAGATACAGTCCAACATACACAATGAATGTTCTGCAGAACACAACAGTAAATTTTCAAATTTGGAGTTTTCTCAGGTTCTTGTGGCTCCAGGAATACTGAATTCACTTACGTTCTAGAATCTGTTATTTAGACTACCTTCAAATGACCTGAGGACTTCAAAGGCCTCTTACTCCCATCATCATCAATGAAAGACTGTGCAAGAGACAGAATTAGGATAGGATCAAACCTTTTGGTGTCAATTTTAATAGCAACAAAACCATCTGAGGCAGCTTCAGTCACCTTCTCATCTTCCCACCTTGCAGCCATCTCAGTAGACTGTTCATCCTCACCTGCAAGATACAGCACACATGTGAAGCTAAGCCCACCACAAATTACTGGTTTTGGTCTGATCTTAGCTTTGCTTGAACTGCTTGAAATCACCTCTGAAAGACAATTATTTTCAAATCAGTTGGTTGGGGTTTTTTTTATATAACCTGGAGCAAATTCACTCCAGCTGATTCACCTCACTAGCAGGCCCAAACCCTAAAACACCAAAAATCCTTCCAAGCCAGCAAGCATGGAGCTTTTGCAGTAATTCAACTACATGGCGAGCTGGTCCAAGGGAGCAGAAGCAACTGGACCACACTGATAGAACAGCAACAGAGGAACTGGAGGTGATGGCAAGTCCAAAGATTAGCTTGACTGCATCACCTCATTGCACAACTATCAAAGGACCTCATTTTCATGTTACAGGGAGTATGTGTATGCTTTAGTGTTTTGCTTCACATTACTCTCATAATATTCAAGGAGATCCCATAGCAGAGGGAACCATTGCTTCTCCCCGGAATTAAGCTGCCCTGCTAACATGCTAAAACTATCCACTGCTTACCTCTCATTATAGATTTAATTACAGCTGCTAATAGGTAAAACTATATTTCTTGCTCCTTGTAAATGCATAATTCAGCACAAGGTTTTACAGTTTAATGGTGTTTAAAAAAAAACCCCAAACAATAAACCCAAACAATCAAATCACAAACCAAATCCATTTATTTGCAGGATTATTTGTAACTTGGCTTTGTATTCCAGTTCCTAACATGAACAGTAGCAGTTGGAGAGGTAGGAAAAGGACAGAGGAGCACAGAGGATCAAGAATAACAGAAAAAGAGGAAGTACTCAAGAAAGGAAAGCTGGAAAGGTGCTCTAAGGCCACAGATTCAGAAGTGTTATTTCAATCAGATGAAACACATCAATCATATGTTTATCTTTCAAAGCACCAGTTTAGTAAGGATGTGGGTTAGTGAATATTCTGATGATTAACCATCTTGTGACAGTAAACTGGCCTGCAACCCCTAGTTTGTCTTCAATCTGTATTAATTCCTAGCAGCTTGGAATGAACTGTACTCTTGAACAAGAATGTGAGTCACAAGTACAGAAGTATAGTAGTCCATTATTCCATTACAACAAACCACTTGTTTGTTTCATCACAGTTGCTATTTCGCACAGTATGTTTCTCTTGTTACAGACCAGGAGCCACACATGGAGTCCCCTGGTGAAGCACTGCTGCCTTAAGGCCACAACTGGCCAAACTGCTCCTCAGACAGACGTGTATCAGAAATACACCAGAGTTCTGGAAAAGTGCTTTACAACCATAAGTATTAATTTTCCCTAGAAGTACTGGAGCAAGTAAGAAATTATTGATCTCTACTACTACTATTCTAATAAGTAAGTAAATATTTAGGATATTTTATGTAGGAACCTTTGCTCCACCTTCAAGTACAATGCTTCCAACTGTGGTCAAGGGATGCAGCTGTTCTGCCAAGCATGGTTGGGCCTCCTCCACTGTTTCCACATGCTCACAGACAGCTGCTTCACTACACATGTTTTCAAGAGAACATGTGCTCATCTGATTAGGCTACTAAAAATATCTAAATACCTGGTGAACACTAACTTCTCCATACAAACAACTGCTGTAAAAGAATGCTGGAAAACACAAACAGTTCAGAGGCTGTTCACAGTACAGTCAGAGATATGTGATCCATGAATGAAAATGCTGATCACATTTTATAAAGCTCTGTGCCATGAAGCAGTTTAACATCGTGACTGCCCACAGAATACTTGCTTATTCTCATACACCTTTTTGTTTTGATAACCCTTTCTCATTTGGGGGTTAAGATTCATTTATTACAGTTTTGTAGTAGTAATTGTATCCTGAAATGACCACTGCCAGGTTACAGGAAAAGCAGCAGAACAGTCAAGAGGTCAAGCTGAACAGAACCTGACATAATTCATAATTCTGCTAAACACTGAGTGATCACAACTGCCTCAGAATTCGAGTTCCCAAGATTTCTCAAACAAAAGCATTGCTTTAGCGGAAAGACCTGTACACAATTTGCAGTCATACTTGCTTATCTCTTAAATTGGGTTAGGTAAATTTAGATATCCCATGAATTCAGCAGGATCTTTAATACACTTACACAACTGCATCACCAGAATATGCCGTGAAGGTTTTAAAAACAGAACTAAAAAAATGTTAGGATTATAGCTGCAAACAAATTGTTAAAGAAAAAACCTGGTTGAACAACATGCAATTGTAGTCCACCTCGTTGTTAAGATAAATAGCCACATTATTCCTTGCTTGACTGGAAAATATTCTAGGATCAGAAAAATAACCCAGGTTTTAATTTCCTAATGTTTGTTTAGACAAGTGCAGCGAAGAGGGACAAGCAGATGGTAGTAGAAACCGAACATTATTCAATAATTTGTCAAGGCTGTATCTAAGAGCTGTCCTCCACTGTGGCCACCCTCAAATTACAGTTCATTTACATTTTCTGTTTCTCTCACTGTTTTTTTAATTAATTTATTGTCCCCATATACATTACTGCACAAAGTGTACAAAACAAAACAGAAACACTGAGCACTTCCAGAAGCATGCTTTCCTGCTCAGAAAGCTGCCTTCAAATGCTTGTCTCCAGTGTCTGTGGGCAAGTGTGTAGTGCAGGGACTGAAAGTTACCATCACTGCCAACTGTGCGGTTTTAAACATGGATCTACCCAAACAACAAACCCCATCACTGCTGGCATAAAAATAGACTCTTCTTTCAGCACTCGACATCCCTCAGACACACCTGCTTCCACACATGGCGAGAAAGCGTGTTCTTGGGCTTCCCAGTTCCCTTTCCCGGCAGGCATACCAGAACTGCTTGGCAACCAGCTCCATCGCAGCTCAGCTGCCCTGACCCCACTGTTCCTAGGGTGGACCAGAACTTGACAGAACTCTCCAACTCTTTCATTTGGGAGATATGGCCACGCAAAGTAACACTCTCCCTTTTCCAGAGCTCATAAGATCAAACAAAACAAAACAAATCCTTACAGCACACTACATCATCAAAACTAGGTTACATTCCTCCAACCATAAATATATCTCTGCTCTATATATCTACATATTCCTACAGCCACCTAGTCAACATCAACATCTAAAAGAAAAGGATGGTTTTGTGTACAGTACTAGTTTCATAAAAGATACTGGAAATAAGTTATGAAGCGCAATTCTCAATCCCTGAAATGTATGTATCAAGTTCAAAATACTCATAGGTACTGAATTACTACTAAAAAAATCTTTGTGGTGGGGTGACTCTGGCTGGATTCCTGGTGCTCACCAAAGCTGCTCTACCACTGCCCTCCTCAGCTGGACACGGGAGAGAAGATACAACAAAAGGCTGTGGATTGAGATAAGTACAATGAGAGATCACTCACCAGTTACCATCGCAGGCAAAACAAACTAGGCTTGAGGAAATTATTTCATTTATTACCAACCAAATCAGAGCAGGTAATGAGAAATAAAACCCAAATCTTAAACCACCTTCCCCCCACCTCTCCCTTCTTCACTCCTGATTTTCTCCACCTCCTCCCCTCTCAGTGGTGCAGGGAGACAGGGAATGGGGCTTGTGGTCAGTTCACCACAAATTCTCTCTGCTGCTCCTTCCTCCTCAGGGGACATCTCCTCACACTCTTCCCCTGCTCCAGCGTGGGGTCCCTCCCACAGCACACAGTCCTCCATGGACTCCTACAATGTGCGTCCTTCCCACAGGCTGCAGTTGTTAATGAACTGCTCCAGCGTGGGTCCCTTCCATGGGGTGCATCCTTCAGGAACAGAATGCTCCAGCGTGGGTCCCCCGGAAGTTTCTTGTTTACCACATGGCTTTCCATTTAATTTACACAACATGCTACTATCATTTTATCATAGACTATGAAGGCAGAGAGCTAAGAGGTAGACACTATAGACAAACACACTAACGCATGCTTATTAAAAAGAAAAATAAAATTAAAAAAATCCAGTGGCAAAAGGCTTTCACACCACAGCACCCACCCGCCATCATGATTCATGAGCTTTAAACAGCTGTCTTAAAGCCTGCACACACCACTCCATCCTGCACACCATCAGCATGTTGTGGGCTGAGATGATCTTGATTTCCAGTGCTTACTATCCATCAAAAAATACAATTCTCCAAGTATAAAGAAAGTTGTGTCAACAAAAGGACTTAACTGAACTTTACTTTCCTGTCCACATCCCTTTGTTTGGGAGTTTGGAAGCGAACTTTTCTTTGAAGCCAAGTGAATCCACGGTCCAATAATTCCTCAGGGAAAAACACCAGCCACACGTTTAGTGTAGGGGTTTTTTCATGAGATATCTAAAAAACTTCGAGCCACGAGCACTTAAGGCAATAGTAAGAACCCAAGAACATACACACGCAGGTACACAGAAACAAGAAAGTTAAAAAGACCGTCTAATGTCCCCCCTTCCCTATCCTTATTTTTCCAGACAGAAAGGCAACATACACAATGTGAGTTTCTATAGTTTTCAAATACCATTCATTAACAAAACAAACGCTATAAATGAACCAAAAGAAAAAGGACACGCTGCACAAACAGCTCAGTAAGTTCCAGCAGTAAGAGCTGAACGCAGGCTTATGCAAGGGTATAACGAAGGGAAAAGCGAAACACGGGAGCAACTAATTCCACTGCCCTAGAGCGGTGCGTGAAGCCACAATATGCCCCAACGGCACGGCTAGACAAGTAGCTGGGGCACCTCCACGGCGGGCCAGGCACCGCCGGGCCGGGCAGCAGGGCTCGTCCTGACACAGCAGAAA